ATTTCCCTGGCTAGCAGGAGCTTCCGGCAGCATCCTCCCTGGCCACAGGGATCCGTGGGTGCCCTGTGGTAAGGCCGAGTGACGGCTGGGGGTGAACTGGCACAGCTCTGGAAGTGAACGTGTTTGCATTGTGGGAGGCACTGCGGCCTCAGCCGTACGGGAACAGCGCTGGGGTGGGCAGCGCTTCCTCCTTCCCAAAGCGGCGCTCGGTGCAGTGAGCTTGGGGTGGGGTGGGGTGACGGGGGTGCTGCAGAGGAGGGGTGCTTGCTGGCAGTTCGTCAGGTGCCGTCACTCGTCCTGTGGAGATTAACAACTTGCTTAATCTTAGAACCTGTTTCTCAGAGGGGCATTTACCCCCAGGGCTGGATTTAATACCGAAGGTGCTAAATGATGTCCTGGAGGGTAGAAAATTCCAGTTTAAAATTCCTACTACTGGTTGCCGCAGCCCTTTACAGCCCTGTCGGTATTCCACAGGCCCCCATACACAGGGCAGGGTGACGGCTCTCCCCAGAACCCACGGGTGGTCCCACACCCACGTGTAGGTGGCACGAGTCTGTCGGCATGTTCTGATGCCAGAACCGTGTAACGGCATCGTTCTGTGCCATCTCTGCGTTGGTGTGAGGGGTTGGGGGGGTGTGACCTGCCACGTACACTTGGACCGTGGCCATGACGTACTCCTGGGTCCGTACCTTCTGCCGCAGCCAGTGGGATGGACGTGGTGGGTACAGAGTGGCGCCAACCTCATGTCTCTTCACTTGTCTTGGCACGTGTAAGCTTTCAATTAAAATGGTTTTACCAACTCCTCGGCTTCGTGCTGTGTGATGAGCATCAACCCACCTGGCCGCGGGGCCCCAAGGGTGCTAGTTTGGCGTGTCGCCCCATTTCTTGCCTCCTTGCCCAAGGCACGATGATGCACATCATCGTCGTCGTCCGAGGTCTGTGGTTACGCTACTGCTGTGGGTGAGGTGGGGGCAGGGGTAGGCTGCTGTGACTTGGTCTGTGCCCTGTGATGCACCGGCTGCAGTCACGAGGGAGCAGGTCGCTCTCCACATCTCCCGCTCCTGCTCTGTCTCAGCTGGACAGACCAGGAGCTGTCAGGGAGCCAAAGAGCAGCGCAGCCGCAGGGAGGCAGACACCACGCAGCAGGGTCACTGCTCTGTTACAGCCTTGCTGCTCCTGGCCCACCCACTCAGAGGTGCCGGGGGCAGAAATCCCCAGGCTCCAGCAGCTCATCCAGCACCAACCACAGCACTCGACCTGCCCTTCCAGCTCCCACGCACCTGCTGGAGTGGAAGGCATTCGCAGCGCTGCCCTGAGACAGGAGCAGTTACTTAAAACTCATTAAAATAGTCAGCTTTATTCACAGTATTTTTACACTTTAGCCCTGCTCTCAGTCAACCTGTGGTGAACGGTCAAAGGTAAAAAAGCTTTGAGCAACACCCACACGATGAAAACTGTTTAACCCTATCCAATACTTTATACACAGATTTATACAAAGGAACACTTACTTAAATAATACAACCGGCCCCAAAAATATACACTTTAGAGAAATTCACCTGGGGAATTGTGTAAAGCTCCGCTGAGCTGAGGGTCCTGGAAGCGCAGGACTGGAGCATCAGCTCGGTAATGCGGGAGGGGGGGGCGACAGTCCCCGAAGGCCACTGTGGAGCACACGGCTGTGTCGGGGCCGGCAGCTCTGCATCCCGGTTCAAGGGTCGAGGTCCTTCACGATCGTGCAGATGTGGGAAACGGAGTGGTATGACAAAAGGTACTTAAAGCGGCGCTCGGAGCCCGTATCGACAGCTGTAGGCTCAGTGCACCCGCCCTGTCTGCACGTGTGTCCATGGGACCGTTTGTCCAGAGGAGGAATAAATGCACTTGCGCAGAAGTAACTTCCTCTGCTCGGCAGGCCGGTGCGCGGCTTCTGAACCAGCACAAGCTTAAAGACCCGCTGACGGCCTGACCTCAGCGCTGCCGGTTCGCTGCTCCCTGCGCGAGTGTGTGTACGTTAAGGCTTTGAATCCCCTGACCGAGGGTTTGCACCGCGTGGGACCCGGCAGGACCAGAACGGACACGCTCCGCCCTGGAGCCCGTGGTCACCCGCTCCTGCCACCGCTCCCGCCGCCGCTCCCTTTCTCCCAGCTGGAACAGGGAGCTTCATAGCCACAGGATTTCATGGCAAGAGCCAAGTACGTAACAGTGTTCAAACACAAACTCCTAATTCAGTGGCAACACCTTTGGAGGAACTTCCTTCTTTTTCATTATCCCTACCCATTTCATGCAGCAAGAAAGGTACCTCTGAAGGTTTACCTTAAGAAAGGACATTCTGGATGGAATCGGCCTGTGCAACCCAAGTGCTGATGGAAACCAGCTCCAGGGCGCTGCTGGACTGTCATACGTTCGTGTCTTGCAGTAAGGGCTCCTTCGCGTCACCGGGAGCCTGGGGACTGTGGGGGTGGCCGTGGCTGCCACAGTGCTTCTTCCAGCTGCCAGACCGGACGTTCAGGTTTGTGTGTTCAGGAATAAACAAGGCAACAAGTAGTGCCAGCAGCACAGAGCACGCTCCAAACAAGAACGGGGGTCCGGGAATTATGGAGTTCTGAAAACAACAGCAAGGCCAGAGCCTGTTAATGACCCGTGGGACGTGACATGACACAGCTACAGCTGCAGTGCCCACGGGTCGGGAGCAGGATGAACCCTCTCTGGCTACTCTAGTCCCGGGGAGGCTGCTGGAAGGTGTGGAATGTTTGTTACAGCCCCAGGCTGAGGAGAGGGAGCAGATGGTCCTTCTAACGCCCGTCCCTGCCGCCTCTAGTGCCAGTTCGTGCTGCTGCACTTCAACAGCCCCGTGGCAGCTGGGACCAGCGCAGGGAGCACTTTGTTAAAAGCCTGAAGGACAACAGACCAAAACTGCCCCCTGCCAAAGGCAGCTCCAGTAGCGGGGAGCCAGCGGGGAGGGGGCTGCTGGAGCTGCTGTCAGCCCGTCTCTGCGCAGCTGCCGCGCCAACTAAACCAACCCCTTTGACAGCAGCCACCCCATGAGCAGCTGCAGAACCTCTGCGTACGTACTCGGCCTAACAGTGCCCTACGGCACTACATCCAGGACCAGAGGGGCACCCGGTCCCTTCCCAACACGAGGGTTTTGGCGTAAGCAAGTGGAGGAAGGATACCTGCTGTACATGGTACTGGGTGACCACACCGCCTCCCGCCGGCGCTTCAGGCATGGGGAGTTCGTTCAGTTCAACGTGAAATATATAGAATATAAAACCATAAAGTGCTGGTCCCAAACCATTACAGAGTCCTCGAATTCCTGTTATCATCCCCTGGACCACACCTGGGAAAAGTGAAACACAGTTATTCTACCCCTCCTGAACTGCTTCAGTGGATTGGGAACAGCCCGGAAAAACTTCATTCACTTCACCCTGCCACAAGCAGGAAAGCTGGTCTCACCGGTGCTGCACCGTGGGTAGCCACAAAGGGCACAGAAAAACTCACGCCAGCATATTCCGTGTTTTCCCCCCTCCCCGTGGGCACAGCAGCAGTTGGCACACTATGCCCAGAGCAGTACATCCGCAGCACCCTGCTGTCTCTCTCACCAGGCGGGAGGAAGCCAAGCAGCCTTGGGCCGAGGTGAGGGAACCCAGCAGCGCCCTGCGCTGTGTCCTGCTGCTGTCAGGACCCGCCGAGCACCTCCCCCTCTGCCCCAAGGCCACACACCGCCACCTGTGACCGCGCTGGGGGTGTGGGCACCTGACCGATACGCTGCGACGCCCCACGCCCGGCCGACACCTACCCTGCTGGTCGGCGTCAGCGGTTCGCGACACCAGCGCGCTGACCGCTGGGAAGGTAATGCTGGACATGGCCGCAACGGCTCCGGCTGCCCACATCAT